CTGGCGGCTATGTGGCCGCCACTGCCGCCCCGTCGCCGCCCCGTCGCGGAGAGGCTGCCCGTCGCCTCCCGACGTCTGGCCACTGTATCGCACCATGGAGCATGCGCCGCGTTGAGTCCACCACAAGGATTGCACCGCGTAAATTGCCCCACGTAGATTGCACCACAGACCTGCTTTCTTCTAAAAACGAAATCGTATGATCTCCCCCCATCAATTTTATCGACCCTCCCTGGGATACCACAATTCACAGATCAATATGCCCCATCGTTTATTTGAATTATGCATTCATACACTCTGAGCCCAGCCGGTATCGAGCTCCCTCCCCCCGCATCCTCGTCAACTAATACTGTGCGCACGCATTCGTTGATCCAAAACCCCTCACCCCTCACCCACTCATTTTTTGCGCGCGGGCACATCTCTCACTATGCGTGCATACCACTTTGCGCGCACTATGAACCCTCACTATGCGCGCACATTCGTTTATTTCGGCACACCCCTCGAACGCTTCGTGGCCCCATAGGAAACTCCACCGATGGCGATACTCACAACGGCGGTATTCACAACTGCGTACGGTTGGGTCCTTCGCCAAGATTTTTGTCAACCGCAACACGAAGAATCGAAACCAGACAAAACAAAACAACAACAGCGCTGCTATAAACAATTCAGCCCCAACATAAGGGTGTTCAGATGTTAGCGGGATCAGCGGGACACAGAGATAGTAAGAAACAAGGGGTTCCATGACGTTCAGATGCTGTCATGGAAAGGCCGGCGAACGCGATGAGGGGAAGCAGCATGGAAAGGGAGGATGGTTGTGCAAGGGCACGAAGCCAGGTAAATAGTATAATATTCCTATGTCTTCCTCGCTCTGGCGGGGCCTCCCTTGAGGGGTGGGAAGGGCAAAACAACTTGTAAATAGTGTGGTGTTCCGATATCCTCCTCGCTCTGGCGGGGCCTCCCTGAAAACGTGGGAGGGGCAGGAAACAGTGCACATTGTATGGTATTTCGACACCCTCCTCGCTCTGCCGGGGCATCCCTGGAGGGGTGGGAGGGGCAGGATACCTTGTAAGTATAATCGCATTCCGATGCCCTCTAAGGCCGCGTCAACGGCGTGATTGGATATCGGTGCGGTTAGGAAGATGGTTTTTGTGACACCGAGCTCACGCAGAGCAAAATGCAAGAAATCACGAAAGGCCGTTTCCTGCATGTCATATATGCATCAACCGAACGAAAACGACACAGCGAGTTGTAGGAAAACACGAACCACGCGTTTCTACAAGTGATTTGGCCACCAACCGCGCTTTCCTACAATTGGATGTCCTACTTCGCCGTTAGCTAACACACCGTTAGTGCGTCTACGGACGGACCCTCCTCGCTCTGGCGGGGCCGCCCTGGAAAAGTGGAGGGGCAGGAAGCCTGGTAAATAGTATACTATTCCTATGTCCTCCTCGCTCTGGCGGGGCCTCCCTGGAGGGGTGGGAGGGGCAGGAGACCTCATAAACAGCGTGGTGCTCCGATACCCTCCTCGCTCTGGCGGGGCCTCCCTGAAAGAGTGGGAGGGGCAGGAAACCGTGCAAAACTTACGGTATTTCGACACCCTCCTCGCTCTGCTGGGCCATCCCTGGAGGGGTGGGAGGGGCAAGACGCCTGGTAAGTACCACGGCATTCCGGTACGCCTCTCCTGCAGTAGTGGCCTGGGTGGCCTCGCAGTTCTGCGTTGTATGGGCCCAGGGCCGAGAAGCTTCCTTCGGAGCCTCATTACCATCGAAACTCTCGCCATCGACCCAATGTTGCGTCGTCCAGGCTGAGGGGACAAGAATGTACACATACTGCTGCTGCTGGGACCTGTCCAGGGGCGCGTTCTGACCATGATTTCGGAGCGAGTCCGGCCGCGGCGACGGGGGAAGGGCCGCGGCATCGTCATCCGTTCCCCCCCTGCCCTCGAGAGTTTGGCCGTCGAGACTGTCTTGCGTCGCCCATGTCTGAGAGGGGGGGAGGGCACTCGGATCACAGCTAGGATTGCTGAGGGATATGGCCTGAATACCAAGGACCGATTGCTGGGATGCTGGGATTGCTAGGATATTGATAGGATTGCTAAGGGGATCAGGGGGCTCTGAGTGGATCCCAAGGTGTGTCGTATCTGGCCGAACCTACCTTGCAAGTGAGTTACAAGTGCCCCAAGCGGCTTAAGGGGGGCTCAGATTCGGGCTAAGCGGGCGGAGCCCAATTCGCAGAGATATCGAAACCCTTTTTAGGCCACTCAGGGCATTTGTGCCGAGCTCATATGCCAGGCCAGGCAAGATGCAGCCCACCTTAACGTCCACCTTTTTGTAACCTTAGCGGTGATCCAACCCACACCCCCGACGCCGTGATTTTTTCGCAACGTCGACCCCCAGAGGTCTGGACCCCTTCCCCGGGACCGGTTCTCCATCCCGAGCCGTTTTTTGACGGCCCCGAGGCCCGGTCAGGGCCCCCAAAGGCCAACACACAGCGAAAAACCTGC